AAGAAATAAGCCAAATGCCAGCACGAAACCTCCACATAGGAAACAAAATACAACTTGGAACTCGGACATTCCTAGGCTGAAGCAGCTCGAATCCAAACCTTAACAGCATCTGACGACCTAAGCATTAATCCAAACACTCATTCCCAATTCTTCCATAAAATTGCCACGAGCCAACACCGTATCCTCTCTAAAACCAACGATATCTATGAAGATAATGTGTGATTAATTTCCTAACACTTTCTAATGTTTCTCCAACGTATGCACGCATACATATTTTATAAATTTCGATTAAATACACATAAACTATACATAACTGATAACTCTGGTCTATTCTATACAATGAAATATAATTCTCTCTAAAATCAACGATATCTATGAAAATAAGGTGTGATTAATTTCCTAACACTTTCTAATATTTCTCCAACATATGTACACTTACATATTTTATAAATTTAGATTAAATACTCCTAAGCTATACATAACTGTGAACTCTGGTCTATCCTGTACAATGGAATTCTCCAGCATATCTTCCAACAATTGAATATATATATATATATTTATTTATTTATTTTTTTTGTCTTCACTATGTCTTTTCTCTGACTCGAAGACATATCGCAGCCAAATCTTGAATGCACAATTTCCGTTTACAATTTTACCATTTTCAGTAGGTTCTTTATGGGAGCTGGAAAACACATATTGTCAATGTCATATTCAGACTACAATTTGAGTGAGGTCCTGAGTGAGTGACATACATGGAAGCACAGGTGAAAGATAGTATATATACAGGGTAAAATACCTCGTGTGCCACTTAAGTTTGAAAATTGGGGTCGTCATATCACTTAAGTTTGAATAGGGTGTCGGGTACCACTTATTGTGTGCTAGTTATCCTTCTTTTATTTTGATATATTGATAATCGATTAGGTTCTATTTTAATTATTTCTAATGGTGCTTCTAATTGAATTAGGGGTTTAAATAGATTTTCTAATATTAATTTTAAATATTTATTATTATTCTCTAGTATATTTATTATTATTCTTGATATTAATTTACTATATTTACTAATTTATCTATTTTATTAAAAATAATTATTAATCATTCTAGTAATAATATATTTAGAAGGTTTTCTAATTATTATATTAGCTAAAACTTGTTGAAATATAGTTTTGTTCGGGTATTAAAAAGTAATTAAAATTTTGGGTTGGATGGAAATGTAGACGGATGCATATTTTGGCGACTTTAATGGTACCCGACGCCCTATTCAAACATAAATGGTATGTCTACCCCAATTCTAAACTTAAGTGACACCTAAGGTATTTTACCCTATATATACATAAGCAGCTTTTAATATGTTGAGTGAAATCATTCACTTGGGTTTCTGATTTTATTCACAGTAAACATTTGAGCATTTTCAGCTCATAATTGTCCCCAAGTGAGGTCCTAGGACCAAATCCCTTGGCATTGGCTTTGCTGGTACATTTTGCTGTCTTTTCATTGACAACCACCTTTTTTATGTTTCATTTCCTTTGGATTTATGTTACCGCTTTTTGTTTATTTTTTATTTTCATTGTCGAAATTTTGAAGTTAATTAGTCCACTTTCTTATCTATTTTTTTTATCATAAACGGCTTGATTCCAATTACTAAAATTGTTAAGGAAAAATTAACTATGCATTCTATAACATAGATTGGTAATATGAAAAATTGATCATAGATTGGAGACGACAAAAGTTGTCCCCGGAAATAGGAAAAATCGTCCCTATAGTTTTTGGGGACGACTTAGTCGTTCCTAAAGTGTGGTTCCCTATACTCTTGTCCTCTATTATTTCGGGGATGACAAAAATCTAGGTCGTCCCCATAACTAGGGACGACAGTCGTCCCCAATATTCGCAAGCCGCCATCTCATTTCTTGTCCATTAAAGACAACATGTCGTCCTCATAGCTATAACTTTAACTACAATAAGTCGTCCCCTAAACATCATTTCTAGAGACAAACTGTTGTGCCAAATAATTGATTTTATGATTTTGTTGGGTCTATACGAGGATAATATATCGTCCCCTTTTCTTTTTATAGGGTTGACATATTGTTCCTATATTTATCAAACTAGAGTCCAAAAATCGTCCCAAAAAGTTTTATTCAAGGACTACGAGTGGTCTCTTGTACTATTTCTTTAGAGACAACAAGTTGTCAACTATGAATGTTAGGAATGAATTAACGATTTGTTGTTCTTTAGCATGTGTCTTTGGGGGTGAGTGACTAATTGTCACATATCACTTGTGGGACGGTCAATTGTTCCTTAACATGTATTTCCTTTGATGCTTAATTTTCACCAATCGCTCTCTCGTTCATTGTACATTTCATTGCTGCAAAAAAAAAAAAAAAAAAAACTTACTTGGTTAGAGTGAAAAAAGAAAATAGAACAATATCAATAATTGATTAGCAGGGACTATAAGAAAGCAATCACACATGGTCATCGAAAATAAAAGATTAGCAGGGGAGGGAAAGGAATAACACCAAAGCATAATTAGAGCAATAACTATATAATCTGAATTCTCTACCAGTCGCACATATCATTTGTCAGACAACATGAACTATATGAAAGCATTAACACATGGTCTCTGAAAAATAAAATATTAGCAGAGAAGGGAAGGAATAATATCAAAGCAGGAACTAGAACAACTGGACCGATCGAGCTGAGAAGAATCACAGTACGTCTAATTGAGAGAGATTAACTTACAAACAGATTTAATGAAGAAATCAGCGTTGGACAGCTTTTCTACCCTCTGTAGGTCAGCCGACGGCAGCTTTTGAGTTTGAAGGGATCAATGAACAAAAGAATTTGTAGGGATTGCATAAATATTTTGGGTTTATCTAAAGAAGGAAATCAAGAGAAAATTATATTTTCGCCTCCAAAGCCACAAAAAAAGGCCGCCGAAAACTTTTGGGAAATCGAAAGGGAAAGGGTAGCTGAAATTTAAAATTTTTTGCCTACAAGGCCCGCCGAGAAAGAGGCTGAGGGTTAATGAGAATTGGAAAATAAATATACAAATAGTGTTTAATTTGCGGTTAAAACTCTCCATTTTCATACTATTTTGAAATCATTTTATTTTTCATCTAATTAATTAATCTCGTATTAAATACATATAAAACTCATATAATACATTTAATCTTCATATTTAATAAATTAAATTAATATAAAATATTAAACATACCTTTAGTTTAGATAGGAAATAAAATTGCTATAAGTACTTTGTACATGATAAACTTACCAATGAAAATACTAATTCAAAAATAAAAAGATTGTCAACAACCAATCAACCATCCGTTACACGTTCCCGGATTAAATAGAAATCTCACTCCAAGATTGAGTAGGAAAAGGTTAAAGTACTACAGTAGAATTTTTTTTGGGGAAAAACAAATCCCCCATAATTCGCCAGTAGAAAAAAGAACTGAATCGCTAAATGTCGCCCTTAAAATTGCTAACGGTCGCCCTAACTCTAATGATAAATGACTTATATACCCTTAATAAAATTTCAAAATTTAAACAAGCCAAACAATCCCTAATCCCTCAAACTGAACCTCTCATCTGCCTTCTTCGCGAATCCCTCTCGACGCACCAGTTCGTCGACATCTTTCCCGCCGTCGGCGTCGCCCGTTCTCTAACGAAATTTCCAAAAAACGCTCAACCTAAGGCAAGTTACGGTTGGTCCATGGTGCAACCGCAACTCACTTGCGGTTGGTCCATGGTGCAACCGCAAGTGAGCTACGGTTGGCCCATGGTGGAACCGCAAGTGAGCTGGGGTTGCACCATGGACCAACCGCAACTCATTGTTTTTTTTTTTCAATTTTTTGAGTGAACTTTATCGATTCAGAGTCGCTAGTCATGCTCCAGACATCATATCGATGATTCCAACTCCAGAATGACGATGATGGATTCTCTCTTTTGAATAATGTTTTATTTTTTTATTAAGTTGTGTTTGTTTGCTAAAGGAAGAGTAAAGAAGCTAAAAGGTTAAATTTGTAACTTTGATGTTTTTTAGGGCGACATTTAGCAATTTTAAGGGCGACCTTTAGCAACTCCCAAAAAGAATCCTCAGTGGAAAAAATTTCACCGCCAATTAATATTTCCGCTCGAGTATTTTTGGGGACGACTAAACTAAGTAAATTAATAAAATCATATTCCTTATTTTATGGAGACAAGTTAGTTTGTTCGTCCCTAATAAAACTTAGAAATCTATTTCCCGAGACAACATTAAACAGTCGTTCCCAAGACTGGTCCCCAAATATCCTCTTTTTTGTAGTGTTACAAGTAAAAATCAACAAGCTTTACGAGAAACACTGATAGAAATTACAAATTAGGGACTCAACATCTGGCGAAGATCCAGGAATACATGCAATTGTACCCAGAAAACAGGTACCTCTCTCTTTTCTCGGGGATGGTTGGCTAATCAGTCACCATTTTCATCTCTCCATTGATACAGCCGATAGGGAGGAGATTAAATAATCAAATTTTAGCAAACGAACGATAAAGTGTGAATTAACAAGATGCAATTACTCTTTTTACCTACAAAACCGCATATATAGCTCCCTAAATCTGAATTTCGAACTAATGGATGAAATTTATGTAGACATGCTCCAAGGGCTTAATTAGCCCCACGTACTTAATGATAACACGAACCATCAATTGTATTACCAAAAATTTCAATATTATAATAAATGTTACTAGCTAGTCAGTCCAAAAAAAATTGACTCAGATGAGCAGCTAACAAACACATTATACATCAAGACTTTTCTCACTACATTCCATCAAGGCAAAGCCAAGGGCCACACACTAACAAATAAACAACACACGCATTAATTATTCTCATACAGATGTGCCAAGTCTAGTCGACATGTATCTATATGCAATACACACGTACACATTTCCTTCTCTATCCAAAAAAGGAAACAAAAAGCCATCAACAAAGTCAACACCACGATCAAACCGGTTTGAACATTGGTTAATTAGGAATCCCAAATGGGTCCAAACGCTGGGATTCCTGCACCCTTGCAAGCATCGACAACGTCTCTACTCCCTTCCGGATTGCTGGTCACAATCACCACCTCAGCCCGCCACTTCTTTGCCATCTCCACGCTCATTTGGGACACGTTGGGACGTCCCATCAAAGCGGTGTCGTGTACGATCACCTTGTCCTTCGGATGCCTACTCATCATCTCCATAATCTCCTGACCAAAATTCTGTTCGATTCCCTTCGCCACCCAAACCACGCAGACGTCGGCTCGACATGGCTGCAAGAGGAACGACAAGAACACGCATAGTGAGAGGTATTGTGAGTTAGGATTGTTTGAATTTAACGGCATTTATGTTTTCGCTTGACGGAGTATTTTCCTAATTGTAACGATTGTTGGTGGGTAGCTATGTGTGATGTACATGAGTGAAGTATTGCGATTAAAGTTTAATTTTGCTTATGCGAAACAGTTACGGGTATGTATAGTGAGTTGCACATATTTTTGAAAAATCAGAGTATTAAGTGGTAATAAATCGGTAAAGTAATCTACAAAATCTAATAGTGAAATATGACAACTTCCATTTCAAAATTTCTACAGTGAGTGAAAATAGGAAGAGTATTTTTGTTTTCGCAATCATCTATTTTTTTCTTATTTATTCATACAAAAACAGAATGACACTAAGATTTGAACCAAGGTCACTATAAATAAAGACAAAAGTCATAACTTATCACACTATATATTTTGTTGTATCTCTTTAAATAAAAATCATACACGAACCCAATAAATGTTCAGTAAGGATACTTTGATTTGTACATTTTGATTATTTTAATTGTAGTTTAATATTGAATTTAAATTTCTGTCTATCTTATCACACTATATTTTTTTGCCTCCACATCAATTCTCAGAAGGGTATTTAGGGAAGCTGTTATGTGCACAACCATCAACACTCAACCCTATCGTCTCTTCACCACGGCGGCAACCTCTAAATGCTAGAGTTCACGGGACGGTTGTCATCACTAGCTTGTCCGGAGGTCTTAGACACAGGTTCAAATGACCGATAATTGTCTTGGACATGTGGAAAATTCCTTTTTGGGTGGTGGCAAACATAGCATGAGATCCTATATCTTCAACCTAAACCCAAAGGTTCCATGGTTTCACTAGAACCTTTCCTAAAATCAACAGCTACTATCAACGGCCAAAAATCGCTCTTCCCTTCTTCCAAACCACTACCAACCACGAACTACAATCAAGTAAACTTCCTCGGTCTATTCTTGCTATCCACATCTCAATCATGGTAGTGAAGGAGGTTAACAAATACTTAGGTGTTTCAATGGCTTGAGTGTCAATAAACCCTATCTAGAGCATACACTTAGACTTTTGTGGCAACTCTCTATTTTTACTTACCCAGTTTTATTACCACTTTTTCGTTTCCTTTTCTACTTTTCATTTCTTTTTCTTTTCTTTTCTTTCTCTTCTGTTTTTGAGGGGGTACTAGAGAGTTAAACATTTTCCAAGTTAACACTTAACGAACAATGCTCTCTATTAAGGACTTCCGCCAACACCACCTTTTTTTTCAAGCAAGAACCATGCAAAATCATTGTATGTAGAATCTCAATGGAGCTAAAAAATGGAAAGCTCCGGGACACAAGGACGAATCACGTATCGACACGAAGAAAGAATGGGGAAGGGGTCGTTCTATTAATCAACGTTAAGCTGAATAGGCACAAAGCTCATAACATTAGAACGACCCCCAAAGTCACACGGCTCAAAGGGGTTGACTAGGGAATAAAATATTTCGGGACAATCAACTTTTTGGGCGTGGACTAATCCTATGCCTCCATCATACTCACTAGTGACAACGGTGAATGTCGCTTTCCATGGTAAGAGGGATCTATCACACATGAAAAAGACGATCGACCCAAAACTCACATGGCTACCTAGTCACCCAATCTTCTATTCCTATTTCAAAAAATTCTATGCAAGGCAATTGTGATCAAAGAGTAACCAAGTCAAGACATCCATTCATTTAGGCACTTATGAGAACTAAACCTTTGCACACACCTAAAGCAACTCTCAGTCATCATCATATGACACACTTAATCATGGAACGGTTTCCAGAGTAGGAGATTTGAGCTTCCAAAAAGGAGGAGTAAATACAAAAAAAACACAAGCACATTTTCGCTCGAGTCGAGGTTATTATAGATAACAATATTCCACATCACGATAAAAAGAAAGAAAGGCTCACACAAGTACTAGTTCACACACAAAATAAAAGAAAAATAGCAGAGTCGTGGTTTCAAGTGGAGAAGTGGGGAGAAAGAAATCGGCTATGTTACATGTCTCACTCGGTCGACTACCTCGCACTAGTCCCGGGTAAGTCTTCCTCCTCGTTGTCGGACAGGACACCCTGCTTGCGGGCAATCCACACCAAAAGGTCGGTGGAGCAATAAAGGCAGGTGTTACCCCCATGACCTACTCCTCCAGGTATGTGACTCGGTCCACCAACTAGACTCCGGATGAGGAACCAGCTCCGGCTAATGATGATGATGGTGGTGGTGTGGCACGACGGCGAAGGCCTGGAGCTCGAGTAGCCGACTGCTTGGGAGGAGGGAACTCTGGAGGTATGGGAAAGCCCTCGATGTAACGAAAGGGTTTGAAGACTCGGAGCAAGTCCATGGCCCCGTGTCGGTCAAGTATTTAAGTCAAGTTTTGAGATTTAGGAATGGAGAGTAAATAGTTGAGTTCTTATGCTAAGAGCCGACGCAACCGGGGGTGCACCACAGCCTCTCGAATGACATCTCCATAGTTCTGCGAATCTAACTGCTGGAGATCGAGCTTCCAATGATCGCCCAAAGGAGACTTCATCCATAATTGCAAACTGCTCCGAAAGTGGGGGAGCTTTGCCACCTTTAGAAAGAAGGAGTGGTTCTCGTCAAACATCCTGCAAAACATCCAAAGATATACACCATACGTGGAAACTTTCATCAATCTCAAATCATTGGGGAGAAAAGGATTCCCCCACACTTAAGATTCCACATAGGTCCTATGTCTTTGAAGGCTTTTCACAAGATCGGATTTCAACTATTTAAGCCCAACTACGTTCAAAGCTCACAGAGACATGGTTCTAGGTGATTCATGGTTCATCAAAATAACAATATCAAAACCAAACCATGTGAGGTCCTATGCCTTTGAAGGCTTTTCACAAGATTTGATTCAACTGTTTAAGCCCAACCACGTTCAAATCTCATAGAGACATGGTTCTAGGTGATTCATGGTTCATCAAAATAACAATATAAAACCAAAACCATGCCTCGATGGCCACCAACCACCATTCACAAAAGTGGATCCAACTCAACATTCAAACACAATGCACTAGGTGGGCAATTTACTCAATTTACCACAATTCATGCAAAACGAGCCTACCAAGGCTCAATCAAGTATACATGTACATCATACATCATTCAAACTATCCTGCTTGACCGACCCCTCTCCTAATTTCAACCATTCAAGCAAGATTAAACCGATTCTCCTCACCTAAGAACTCTAACCCAATTCTCCTGAAACGACAAAGGAAAGGCTTGAAACATACCCGAAGACACAAGTAGGGTCGACGACGAAGGTGAGGAGAAGGCGAGGATGTCAAAAATCAGCCGAAAAACTGGCCAGTGGAGCTCGACGGAGTGTCTCCAGAGTCTCACCGGAAATCGCCCGCCCTGAAAAAAATTGAGCCAAATTGACTCAAAACTTTGGCGAAGGTGCGCCCGGGAGTGGAAATTGTTGGTTTGTACTTGGATTTTAATTTGGATCATCGGAAGTCAGCAAAGTCAATGAAAAATAGCAGAATGTCGCATTTTTCGGCGAGTTTAAGATGATTCCGGCGATGGGGGCGGCGTGAAGTGAAGAAGAAGGGTTCGCGCCCTTATACAGCCTGAGCCTTAGGTTTACGGACGTAGGATTCTGTTTACGGTCTCTAAGACCGTGAATATAACTCCCTGACCGTGATCTCGGGCCAAAATGGTGCGTTTCTAAGTTTCTGGAACTGCCTTTGTTCATGGTATCCACCCTATATCATGGTCGATAAGACCGTGATAATGAGGCTAAAACCATGAACTAAGTGAAAACTGGGCATTTTTCAAATTTTAAAACTCGACCTAATCAACCATGCCCCTAATTCAAACACACTAAAAAACCAATCAAACAGACACAACATGCTGACACGGTGATAACCAATCATCCACTTGAACTATTTACTCAATCACAAAAAGAGAAAATAAGGAAAAGAAAACAAAACAACGTTAGGTTGCCTCCCAACAAGCGCTAAGTTAACATCACTAGCTTGATGTTGCGGATCTATCATGCTTGAGAGCACGAAGCCTCCGAGAGTGTATCTGCCATGGTCTCAGAGCGAGGTTCGTCACCTCCCAACTTAAGCTCCATCGGATGGCCCTCTTGGCCAACTACCTTCACTTTACCCTTGTCTTTCTTTCGGGTATGAACGCGACTCATCCTTTCTCTCCATGCTCCTTTTTTTTCTTCCTTCGGGTTTGATGCCCTCATCTTTTTCCTGCTTCACATCTCCATAAGGAACACAAGTAATAGTGGGGTTCGCCTTGAGAGGCTCGCCTCCACTTCCAATCGTACCACTCGAGTCCATTTCCTTCACATCATCATTCTTAGCCTTATGATCAAATAAGAGAGTAGTTGCTCCTCTCCATCTCTCAAAATCAGAGTTCCCTCATTAACATTGAATAAGGCCTTGGTGATGGCAAGGAAGGGGAGTCCTAGAATGAGTGGTATATCCGCATCTTCACTAATATCATATCAAGGATAAAAAATCCGTCGGATAGTATAATTTGCCAACTCTCACTAGGACATCCTCCACAATAGATCTAGGACTAATAACAGAGCGATCGGCAAATGTGACACTAAACATTGTAGTCTTTTGCTCACCTAGATGCAACTTCCTAAAAAGGTTGTAAGGCATCACATTAATGCTTGCTCATAAGTCCGCCAAGGAGTTTTCTATATGATCTGTTCCGATGCAAAAAGGTATAGTAAACTACCTGGATCTTTTTGCTTCTTGGGAAACTTGTTGAGAATGAAGGCGGAGCACTCCTCGCCCAAGGTGACATTGGCGAGATCTTCATATCTTGGCGACTTGGCGAGAGGCCCCTTGAGGTACCTGGCATACCTTGGCATGGGTACCATGGCTTCCATGAACGGAATTGTGATGCGGAGCTTCTTGAGCATCTCCATGAACCCGCAACATTCTGCCTCCAATCGGTCCTTGCGCATCCTCATGGGGAAAGGAAGAAGAGGCTTATTTCAGCCACTTGTGGTGGCATCGGCAA